TTGTTGGGACCAGGGGCGGACTGACAACTCATGGGGCCCCCGGGCAATAGGGGATCATGGGGCCCCTGTGTCCTTGCCCAAAGTCAAAAAAGCCTATGAAAAAGGTACCAGGGGCATCTCATGGGGCCCTACTACTGACCCTGGGCCCTCGGGCAGTGCCCGAGTTTCCAAATGGTCAGTCCGCCCCTGGTTGGGACATGCCGCTGTGACCGAGATGCTTTTAGTGAATTGTGGACTCTGATATGCCTCTGTTTATGAAGTGTTTGTGAGTATATACATTTTATTCCTTGTACATAATAAAGCTGTCAAAGGTAATGCGCAAGGCTGATGCACACTCTGTTTCTTATTTTACAAATAATATATGATGTTTGGGGGTTCTAAGTAATTCTATTACTATATTTTTAAATACTGATTGTTACATGTAGAAGAGAAATGTCAGAATCGGCCCAGTAGGGAAGTGGTTAATAACATTCAAACTATAAAACAAAATTCTTATCTATTTCTTTTGGTACAGTTGTATTTTGGTTGCATATAAGTCTTTGTATATTTGTGTGATAAAAAACAATAATCCATTCGTATCCAATCACGCAATCTTGCTCTATATAAATGTTGGTAGGTCTAAAAGGAGATTGTACCATGAATGGTCAGCTTGGGTGTGCCAGCATCCAAAAGGGCTCCAATCTCAGATATAGCACATATAACTTTAAATAAGGATAGCAGCACCAGTGTGTGAGTGTGTGTGTGTGTGTGAGTGTGTGTGTCTGCGTGCGTCACTATCTGAGAAATATTGTACATTGTTACTTTCCTTGTTTAACCAGTTAATGTTCTAGGTCTAGGTCATACCTTGTACGCCTCCTGCTTTCAGTTTGATAGGTAAATTTTTTTTTGTTTATTAAAATCTAGTGCCTGCTGTAGTCATAGCTGCTGTCAGCAGCTAATTCAGCTATGATTGATAGAAACAGCTGTTCTCTGCCAGCGTCTGTTCAAACACAAACAAATGATCATACAGATGGGTTGATTTACTAAATAAGTAAATAATATACACTTTGCAAAGTGAATTTTCACTTAGCTCAATGAATGCAGAGAAGAAAAATTTGGCAAAAAATATCCAATCACATGAAAGAAAAACAGAAAAGAAGATTGAAGTCAGAACTTTATCCTAAGCTACATGAAAATTCACTTTTTGCAAACTGAACATGCTGTACTCTTTTAGCTCATCAACCCCACTGCATCAATTTGCAACTGCCATAGAAACTGATTTAAATGAATTAATAAAAAACTCCACAGAAAATACCTTTACTTAAAATCTAAGAAATAAAATGTATAGGGTTTCTTTAGCAACACCTATGTAGGAAAAAAAAAAAACAGATCATTTGCATTCTAGTCCTCTTTAACCCTTACTCTCCTTTGCTTTTTTGCCAATTTTGTTTTGTCTTTTTATTGTTCATACTGATTTTTTTGTTTTTTCATTCTTTTATTTCTTTTTAACTGTTAAACAAAATATATAAGAAAACCCTTGTTTTCTTTGTAAATACCAGTCATGCTTTGTACTATAAACTTATATAGTATATATATATATATACACACATTTATCCTTTGGCATCAAGATAAAGGGTAAAGCGCTAACATGAATCATTTTTAAATGATCACTGCTCAAATTTACTTCTTTATTCAAATTTACTTCTTTTGGCCGATAAAATACACAGAAAAGGAATTCAATTATTGAAAACAATACCATCAAATCAAATGGCTATCAGCCTCCAAAACAATTTATGTCTGACTTCTGTATCATATGTAATCACAAATGTATTGTCACATAAATTAGCCTATGGCTGCTGGAATGTGAAAATGGCTCAGGAGCCAAACTGGTGAAAAAAATATCTGAAATAGGAATATATATAAAATGTATCATGTGTATATACACACATAATATAATATATATTACAGTTAATAATTAAAACACACACACACACTACATACAAACAGTATATATAGCTATAGATATACCCAAACGTACACTTACACACATTCATATTCATGCAATCAGTATCCATATTATAAAAACTCAATGTCCCCTTAAACATTTTTTGCATGCCAACAGAGAAGTGCATCATGTTGGTTTGCTATGAGCGATGTCTAGATCTTTCCATACAGATGTATGTATTCTATACTTACAGATCACACCAAGGAGCCAGGAGGCTGCAGAGTGGAGTTGGCATTCCTTATATACAGCTCCAGTCACACACCCCCGCTCTCTCACACACACTCACATACACACACACTGGCTGATCTCTCTCGCTTAGTTTCATTTCTCAGTCTGGTTCCAGGAAAATGAAACTCAGTGCAGAGGAGATGAGGGGCCCTGAGCTTCCTAAAAGGACAATATGATATCAGTGCAGGGGACCGACCATGGCTGCCATCTGGCTGGCCTTACCTACACTTTTAACCCTTCTTGCCCCCCCTGGACAATATTCTTATCAACTTTCAAGGTCTGCTGTTCTCAAGGACAGTCCTGGGTTTTAAGATGCATTCAAACCTTTGCATTGCGTCATTTTTTTTACGCTGTTTTTGATGCATTGTAACAACATAGTGAATGGGCAGCCCTATGCTCGAAAAATGTGCCAAAATAGCTGTAAAAGTAAGCCCCCTGTGTTTTTGCAATACATGTTTTGATTTATATTTTGTGTATTTTGTCGCACAATTTCTACCCACATTTGGGGTGCCAATAAAAAAAAAAAATACAAAAAAACAGCAAGCAGAATTATTGTGGGCAAAAACGCATGTTTTGGCCGCGTTCTTACAACTCGAAGCCGCAACCTTAAGGGGTCTTTGCATACATTGGAACTGAGCATGTATGGGCGATTTTTAAAATGTTTTTACATTTTATTTCTTTTTAGGCTTAGGCATTTTTTTTAACCGATGGAAGGGTAGTGACTAGTCAATAAAATGTGCAAAAGTTGCGCACTTTGTGTTTTCTTTTTAGGCATTCTCTTTGAAGTCCATTAGAGCCAAAACATGTAACTCTGCCACAAAAGAAGCTCATGTACTTTTTCAAGCGACACTGTGCTCAGGTGTGTGCGCGCACAATTGAATATAATGGAAATCCTGGGGTTGAGCATTGAAACGTTTCTAGCAAAGCTTCAAACTGGAACAGGACCAATGCTCACACATTGACGCCGGGTTGATGTGCATTGTGTTTAAAAGAGAAGTAGGTGTTTTTTCTTTCCCCCGGTTATACTTACCGTGGTGAATGTAGTATCGGTCTGATGCTGCATCTGTTCCCTGCCAGCCCTAAGCGAGAGAACTCAGCGATCACATGACTGCTGATCGCTGATATCTCACAGCCGCTCTGAGCAGAGAGTGGTGCCTGGCAGTCACCGCTGTCTGCTCTGACCCCTAGCACTGGGCTGTGGAGAGAGAGGATAGCTCAGGCTTTCAGTGGCTCATCAAGTGCCGCTCCAGACTCTGGGGTGGATCCCAACTTTAAAGTCAGAATCTTTCCCCAGCCTGTACCGGCTGAGTGACATCAGCAGACTTCAACCCGCTGTCAGTTGAAAATGGGTTATAGGAGTGCAGAACGAACTGAACTCCTGTGATCCACAGGAGAAGTACAGCCAAAGAGCTTTGCCCATACTTCTCCTTTAAGCAGCCTATTCAGTTTAATTCATTGCATAAAATAAGGCACCTGAGTAATTTCTGGCACTACAGCAGACCATACCACACTATACAGAGCATTTTACAGTGTGCATTGCAGTATGCTATAGTACAGATGCGTTTGTTTCTACCATATATGCACATTGGGGTGCCATTAGGAATAAACGTCAATGCACATATACAGTATATGTACACTAGCGTTTATTTGCAGTAATTCCAAATACAAATAGAGTCCACAGGGAAAGCTCCAGGTTATCAAATCTGCCCCATGACAACATAAATATCCCTTATTTCCACCATGTAACTACATACATTAACCAGCCATTTTATTAGGTACACCTTGCTCGTACCGGGTTGGAACCCCGTTTGCTTTCATAATTGCCTTAATTTTTCATGGCATAGATTCATCAAGGTGTTGGAAAAATTCCTCAGAGATTTTGGTCCATATTTACATGATAGCATCACACAGTTGCTGCAGATTAGTTGGCTGCACATCCATTATGTGAATCTTCCATTCCACCACATCGCAAAGGTATTGTATTGGATTGAGATCTGGTGAGTGTGGAGGCCATTGGAGTACAGTGAACTCATTGTCATGATCAAGAAACCAGTTTGAGATACTTTGAGTTTTGTGACATGGTGCATTATCCAATAGAAATAGCCATTAGAATATGGGTACACTGGCACCTGGTGTGGTCTTCTGCTGCTTTAGCCCATCTGCTTCAAGGTTCGAAGTGTTGTGCATTCAGAGATGGTTTTCTGCATACCTTGGTTGTAACAAGTTGGTATTTGACTTACTGTCGCCTTTCTATCATCTTGAACCAGTCTGCCCATTCTCCTCTGACATCTGACATCAACAAGACATTTTCATCCACATAACCGCTCACCGGATATTTTTTCTTTTTTCTGACCATTCTCTGTAAACTCTAGAGATGGTTGTGTGTGAAAATCCCAAATCAACAGTTTTGAAAATACTCAGACCAGCCCGCCTGGTACCAATAACCATGCCATATTCAATGTCACTTAAATTCCCTTTCTTTCCCCATTCTCAGTTTGAACTTCAGCAAGTCTTCTTCACCACATCTAAATGACTAAATGCACTGAGTTGCTGCCATGTGACTAGCTGATTAGCAATTTGTGTTACCAAGTAATTGAACAGGTATACCTAATAAAGTGGCCGGTGAGTGTACATCTGTTAACCACCTCCAGCTCACCATATAGTAATATGACGGACACAAGGTGGTTCTCTCGTTCTGGGAGGACGTCATATGACGTCCTCCCATTCTCACCGCGCATGCATGGCTCAGGGAGTGCACAGCGCAGCGATCGGCAGTGCTGTGTCCCTTGGACACAGCAGATCACCGATCACGGAAAGAGCCGAAGATGTCGTCTCCGTCATGTGATCAGCTGTGTCCAATCACAGCTGATCACATGTAAACAGGGAAATGCCGATTATCGGATTTGTGAGGAGGGGACATGTACACTGATGTACAGTGTGCCCTGATGATCAGTGTAGCCCCAGCAGCACCACCTGTAGGTGTCCATCAGTGCCTTGTGTCAGTGCTCATCAGTGCCTCGTGCCAGTGCCCATCAGTGCCACATCAATGCCACATATCAGTGCCTACCAGTGCACATCAATGCCACATATCAGTGCCCATCTGAGCTGCCTTTCAGTGTCACACCCATCAGTGCCAGTCAGTGCCACCTATCAATGCCAATCAGTGCTGCATATCAGTGCCAATCAGTGCTGCATATCAGTGCCAGTCAGTGTTGCCTATCAGTGCCAGTCAGTGCTGTCTAACAGTGCCAGTCAGTGCTGCCTATCAGTGCCAGTCAGTGCCGCCTATCAGTGTCATATATCAGTGCCATGTATCAGTGCTGCCTTTCAGTGCCCATCAGTGATGCCTGTCAATGCCCATCAGTGCCACCTACCAGTGCCTCCTCATCAGTGCCCATCAGTGCCACCTATCAGTGTCCATCAGTGCAGCCTATCAGTACCCATCACTGCAGCCTCATTAGCGCACATCAGTGAAGGAGAAAAATCACTTATTTTACAAAATTGTATAACAAAAACTAAGGAAAAACTTATTTTTTAAACATTTTCAGTGGTTTTTGGTTTGTTTAAGAAAAAAGTAAAAACCCAGAGGTGATTAAATACCACCAAAATAAAGCTCTATCTGTCACAAAAAAAATTATAAAAATTTCATATAGGTACAATGTTGCATGACTGCGCAATTTTCATTCAAAGTGCAACAGCGCTGAAAGCTGGAAATTGGCCTGGGCAGGAAGGAGGTATAAGTGCCCTGTAGGCTAGCGGTTAAAGAGGAACTCCAGGTAAACAGACAATATCACCTGTCTGTTTTTTAGTATTTATAAGAAACTGTCTAAAATCTTGAGTGAAGTGTAGTTTCAGGATTGGTTTTTGCGGTTCACCAACTGCATCGGTTGCCCGGTGTAACTCTGATTTGGTAAAATATTTACAGCTCCCACAAATTGGCACAGCAAAATAGTCCAGGATAGTCTTGAGGACTGGAACTGTGCAAAAACAACTAATATGGCTCATGCTCCAGTGACTGGTGATGGCGTACCAACCCAAGTTCCCAATATAACCCTAATGCAACCCTCCAGCTAACAGGAGAGAGTATCAGGGAATTCCATTTGAAATGTTAGACATCTACTGCAGTAGAAGGTTCTGCCAACCATTTTGGCCAGACTGTCATAGTTTGTAAGTGCATATCCTTGTAGAAGGGCAAAATGCTATTAACCTGTTATTTCCAAAGAGAAAGGGAATCTTGGATTTTTTTAGCACCCGGGAGGCACAGGAGCAGCGTCCAGCCCCATTGCAGCAGGTTGTCAAAATCTATGTGTTCTGGGATGTATGCCTGGAATGTAGAAATCCTGCCAGGCCGAGACTGAAAAAAAAAATAATTCATAATAAATAACATCTGTATTTAGACCTGGCAAAGCATTTTGTAACCTCCTGAAAAGGTTTGCTGGGACATATAGTTCTTCAGGGACTGCATAGCTGCAAGGTGCCAACTCCTGAGCAGTGCCTGTAAGCAGGTTGAAATGCTGGTTTAAAACGGAGTTCCACTCACCCTGTCAAAAAAAAATAAAAGTCAGCAGCTACAAAAACTGCTGCTGACTTTTGAAAAAACAGCCATTTACCTGTCCCTCGGTCCTGCGGTGTGTGTCCCCGCAGGCTGTTTCACCGGCCATCCTGTGTTCCAGGTGCTGGCATCTTCAGTGTGGGCACCCGGATGTGATAGCTTGAGGCTTCACAGCCAGTACCCACTGCGCATGCACGAGTAGCGCTGCGCTTCATGAATGGTCCTGTAATCTTCTGGGACCTGTCATGTGTCCCAAAAGACTGCAGGGAGGGAGGGAGGACACCTTCCGCTTCCAATCGCCTAGGACCGGAAGTAGGGAGCGGATACCTGTCAAATTCAGGTACCCGCTCCCCCCGCCCCCCAAAAGGAGCCAATCCTTAATGGGGAGCGGAGGAGCAGTCCTTAAAGCAGAACTTCCCCTTTTGGGTGGAGCTCCTCTTTAACTTGTCTCCCACATTTCTGCCTCTCTCCCTCTGCTGATAATAAAAGGGGGAGAGCTCTGCATGGGAGAGAAGACACAGGCAAGACACCGCATGTAATCCATACCTCCCAACATTTTGAGATGAGAACAAGGGACACCTATTAGCAAATGTATATAGGTATAGGACATACCCCCGGACATGCCCCTTGAGCCTGATTTCACACTGATGTGGCGCAGAATTCGCATTGGTTTCTGTTTCAAATTCCGCACTGCATCATAATTGCACCCCGTTCATGCGAACCGCTGCAGGTGTGTATGTCAAGTTAACAACACCTCGAAATCGGTTTGCAAAACGCAGTGTGATGTGCAGAATCGGATCGCATAGGTGTGAATACCCATGCAATCCAATTCTAGTGCGAAAAAAAAAAAAAAAAAAAAAAGGGTCCTGCGCCTTTTTGGTGCGGATGTGGTGTGATTTGAGCTATACAAAATGTATGGCTCAAATCACACCGCACAGAATTCGCATGTGATTTACACAGGAATGCAGTGCGGTTCCTGTGCGAATCACATGCGATATGCTGCACTGCAGAAGTGTAAACCCAGGCTAAAAGGAGAATTATTTAAAAAAATGATTAGTTAAAACCACCAAGTGCCCTTTTTTTAACCACTACTATTTCTTTATACTGGCTTTTCAAGTTTACAAATGCAACAATTTAGAAATTGGATGAAAGGTCTAGCACTAGGAAACACTTTTTGAAAGATAAATATAGTGCATTGTATATACAATTATATAAATCAGACCAAAATGAAGGACAAATGAGGAGGAAAGAAGGACAGAGGGACTTTGTTCCAAATCAGGGACAGTCCCTTGAAATCAAGGACAGTTGGGAGGTATGTAATCTCCAGCTGCCTACAGAGAAGAGAGAAGGGTGAGCAGTTCCTCCACAGAGCAAGCCTGCCTGCTATCGCATCCACCATATTGGGGGATTGCTGGGATCTGCAGTCCTCCCAGAAGAACACCAGTTTGGGAGATCTGCCACTGTGGACTCTGCTTTGTATGGACTGTTGGCTATGCAGAACTGCTGTGGCAGCCAGTTACGGATTCGTTTAGGGAAAAGACTGTGTACTTTGTTTGGAACTGTTATGCTGGGAGTTTCCAGTAATGCTTTTGAAACTCTTTCCTTGCCTGGTCTGAAGTTACTCAAGAGGTGTAATGCATGTAACTAACACACACATAGTTTACAGTGGGGGGGGGGGGGGCAGCTGAGCACATCCGAATATGAAGACAACAGAGTTAATACCAAGGCTAATAAAGGTTTTATGTAGTAATCTGTTGCAAGTGTGTACATGTGGGAGGTGGGTTAGCGTCTTGCAGGACGGGTTGTTGTCGGCACTTTCTCTGTGAGCAGGTCCGTCTCTAATAGCATTGGGAGCAGATCAGTGCCACCGAGGTCCCCAGCCTGTGCACAGGTATGGAAGAGGAAGAGTTAACTAAGCACATGCATGGAATCCAGTTTATTTGTTCAAGTGTACATGGTGTATGGCCATCTCTAAATTGGGGTCCACCTTAAGGTTGAGTTTTTTCCCCGAGAGCGGTCTCTGCCTTTTCCTGGGGCATTGATGAGCATGGCATGAGTAAAGGTACCCCATGGGCAGGGTGATTTTCCTGGTCTTCAGTGCCTGGCGTAGAATCCTCCATGTCAACCAGATAAAACAGTGTTTTTATTAATAGAAGGGTACTAAAACAACAGCAGGTGAATCAATGGTAGCACCTGTTCTGGGGCCCTACCTATGACCACAATTTCAGGATGTTTGTTGTATCTGATCTTTTTGCAGAAATAATCTTTGGTCCCACCTGATAGAATAGGCTTTGTGCACTTACACGTTTGTGTTTGTTGTGTATGTGTTTGTCATAATTCATCATTGATGCGTTTCTAAAGCCTAAACTAGTTTTATGTTTTTGGTTTAAGTAGGCACATACCTGTGACATGACTGAATGTTTAGAAAATCTTTCCCTTTGATTCAAAATTTACCTGTACTTTACAGGAATGTCCTGTAATAAAGACCGGTCACTACTGCTCTCTGTCCTTGTGCAGGGTGACTGGTCTTGTCTCCACCTCCTACTGTAGTAGGTGGGGCATAGCTCTACTGTCTGCACAGGCTATGTACAGCCCAGTGATTATGTAATTGCTACTTTTTAACCGCTCCCTGACTGCCCTATTACTACTGCTACAGGGCGGTAGGGCTGCACATAATCACATATATTTACACATGATTTTGCATTTCCGGGTAGGGGACATGCGAGCCGCCCTACCCGTGCTGCCATTGGTGGCTACAGATGTAGCAGATGCTGGCACCCAGCGATCTCTGAGGAACAGTGACAGGGGAGAGACCTGTGTGTAAACAACACGTCTCTCTCCTGCCAGCAATGACATGCTGCTGTGTATTTCTCTGCACAGCAGAGAAATGCACAGCGGCATGTGTTCCTAGTAAATCACACACATCACACATAGGAAAACAGCATACAGCACACAGTTAAATCTTTGATCGCCCCAGATGTTAACCCCTTCATGTCCTGTGTTATTAGTACAGTGTCAGTGTTTTTTATTAGCACGGGTCACTGTATTAGTGTCAGTGGGATGTCAGTGGCAGTTAGTTCCCCCCTCAGTGTCAGAATGCCTGCTGCAGTCCCGCTATAAGTCGCTGATCACCGCCAGTACATATACAGACATTTGTAGACACTATAACTTTCACGTAAATCAATTATGTTACATATACTGGGATTTTTTTTTTTTAGCAAAGACATGTAGCAGAATACATTGTGGCTTAAATTTGACAATTTTTTTTACTGGATATGTTTTTATAGCAAAAAGCCGAAAATATTGTTTTTTTTTTTAAATTGTCGGTCTTTCTTTGTTTATAGCACACAAAATAAAAAGCACACAGGTGATCAAATACCACCAAAAGAAAGCTCTATTTGTGGGAAAAAAGGACATAACTTTAATTTAGGTGCAGCATTACAAGACCGTGCGATTGTCAGTTAAAAATAATGCAGCGGTGTAGGGACAGGAGTCACAAACAATGGCTGGACATGGAACAGTGTTTCACGGATGTCCCTCTTCAATGTCTACCATGGCTAGATCCCACCATTCTCCCAGTCATCAAAACCCAACCTTTGATAGGATCTACTATCGGTGTCCTGAAACAATGCGATAGTGGTCAGCTTGTACATTCTACG